TACAGGAACATTTCTAAAGAGTGACTTCACATCCAAAGATGCTATTTTGGCTTTAATGGATGGTTTTGTTGTAGACAATACATCTATAAATTTTCTACTTTATTTAAGGTTGTAGTTAAAGTATAGGGTGTAACTATTTTGTTGAGCATTTTTGCAATGGCTGTAGGTGATCGTAGATGAATTAGTGGCGCTGCTAGATAGATTCACTAAACTACTCATTAATAATGGATATAAAAATTCCATGGTCAAGAAAATAATAGAAAGCAAAGAACAAAAAATCAGCAGCAACAACAACAACGCAACCGACGATAGCAACAAAAATAACATATTATAAGCATCACATGTCAACCGCTTTCGAACAGGATGAAAAAATCATGAAAAGAATCATAAAAAATAACGCCCAAGCTACTGACGAAAACGATAGTATTAAACTACGAATATACTACTCCAACGTCATTTCTTGTGATGAAAACAACTGCAATACGTAAAGTAAAGACAGATCAACAATTTCACTAAAAATTACACAGGTTTTAAAAACAGTCAAAAGTGCAATCCAACAAATTCTAAAAATTGATAGAAAGTGCAAAAAGTAGTAGACAAAAGATCAAACCAGCTATGCTTGATTGATTTTACAAAAAAATAGACTCGGTTTGGCACTTAGGATTTTGGGCAGTCCTAGAATAAATGATTTGCATCCACATGTTATCTCAAGCAAAGTTATACTGAATTTGTTATTTTAAGTTATTTAATAAAATTCTTTTTTTTTCAGATAAATTTCCGGAGCTTCATGAACAATTTGCAATTTTGCAAAAGTATGAAGTTGACATGGATGAAGAAGTCATACTACAGCTTAAATCTCTTTCGCAGCTATGGGTCGATTATGGACGTGAATTAGAAGACTCAGAATTTATGTTGAAGAAAATAAAAGTCTGATTTGTTATGTATAATATATATGACATAGAACATATATTTAACATTTTAACATAGAAACACACCCACCACCCCACCACGTGGGGACACATACGCATATATATATATAATTGTTGAAAATTGTCGAGAGAATCATTGAGAAGATTAACGTCGTGCATCACAATCAGAAATTGTCAATTTGGTTTCCTAGCGGGGAAATCAACAATTGATGCAATTCACATCCTTCGGCAACTGCAAGAAAAGTACCTCGCAAAGCATCAACAACTATCACACATTTTTGTAGACCATGAAAAAGCATTTGATCGAGTTCCCCGTGAAGCAATCAGGTGGAGTCTACGTCGACAACTCATTCCAGAATATCTTGTTCGACTTGTGATGGAAATGTATACGAATACTAAGACTCTCGTCAGCACAAGGGTTGGAAACACAAATGCATTTGACATCGGCGTTGGAGTTCACCAAGGCTCGATTCTCAGTCCACTGTTATTTATAACTGTGATGGAAGAAATCAAAAAGCCGATACGCACTGGTGACATTTGGAATCTAATATATGCTGATGATATCGTTTTAACAGCCATGTCTGAGCAAAATGCAACACAGATGTTTAAAGGTTGGAACATCAGACTTCCCGATCATGGATTCAAAGTCGACATCATCAAAACCAAAACAATGAACACTGGTGAACCCATTCAATCCACAGCTATTGGACAATGGCCCTGTTCAGTCTGTAAAGCTGGTGTAGGTAACAATTCAATCAAGTGTCAGCAGTGGTATCACAAACGTTGTTCAAAAATAATTGGTAATTTATCTAAAATGTCCAATTTTGTTTGTCCTGCTTGCATCAATCCACAACAACAAATTCGAAATAGTAATGTTTTTGAAGCCAATAAGGTAGAGAAAGTCACATCGTTTCATTATCTAGGGAATGTTCTGGATTGTACTGGAACAGCTGAAGCTGCCGTTCGAGCACGCATACGTGCAGCCTGGAATAAATGGCATCTCCTTGCTACTATATTGATGCTGCGTGACATCCCACTACCACTACGATGAAGACTTTATAAATCTGTGATACGTCCGGTGTTGTTATATGATGCAGTAACATGGCCAATGACAACCAAACTGGAACAACAACTTAACCGAACCGATATGAAAATGATCCGATGGATGCAACGAATTAGTCTGAAGGACCACATCAAATCTATCGAAATCCTGCGCCGTGCTGGTTTAGATGATCTTAAGGACGAATGCCGACAACACCGTCTGAGGTGGTTTGGTCAAGTCAAACGAAGTGGAAACAGTGGCATAACTTCTCTTGCAGATGTTGAAGTACCTGGCACACGTCCCAAAGGCCGTCCAAAAAAGTCCCGGTCGCAAACAATTGAGCAAGACATGAAAGCTCTAAATTTAAATGAAATGGATACAAATGATAATTTAATTTGGCGCAAAAATTGATGGCAAAGAAAACAACGTCCCACCTCGGGGGAACTGGGTCTCTGGACGCTAAACGATGATTGATTGATTGATTGAAATAACATTTAAAAAAGACTTCACAAGCAATAAAATGCTATTTAAGCGTCCCTAAAAGTTCTATAATGTTTGCAATCAAAATTTTCTATTTTTAATTTTCATAAACGACATTGTTAAGAGCATCTCTTCAAAAACGGTTTCAATTTTGCTTTTTGCTGATGATATAAAATTACATGGCCTTCTTCAACTTCAACGAGTCATTAACGACATAGTTGCTTGGAGTATCAAATGGCAACTACCACTTTTTTCAAACAAATGATCTCGTTACTCGTTTCTTTTATCACCAAGATCTGTCTTAATTCCGCATCAATACTCAATTGACCAACAACTTCTAACTTGTACAAACAAATTCAAAGATCTAGGAGTGATAGTTGACAACAAATTCAACTTCAATCTTCATATCAGCGACATCACTCACATGGCTTCTTCTCGTGCACGCCTAATCATCAGATGTTTCACTTCCAGAGATAAAGATCTATTTACAAAAGCTTTCTGCACATATGTACGACCACTAGTAGATTATCGCTCACCAGTATGGAGTCCGCATTACAAGTGTCAAGTGATGAAGACTGAAAGTGTTCAAATAAGATTTACCAAATCCATCCCGTCAATACGTCATTTTCTGTATCTGTCTAGATTACACGCAGTTGGTTTACAAATACTCGAAAGTCGTAAATTAATTTTTGATCTGTGCCTGTTGTACAAAATACTACACAATCTCATCGAAACTGACCTAACCAATTAACCAGTCACTTCATACCTTCACGTTATTTGTCAACTCGTGGTCATCAATGCCGATTGCAAAATTTCAATGCTAGCAACAATGCAACAAAATATTTCTACTGTAACAGGATTGTCCGGGTATGGAACGCTTTGCCGGCAGAAGTGGTTTCCTCAACTTCACTTGCAATTTTCAGAAATCATCTACTATCTATTGACTTAAATAAATTTTTGACTATAATCTAACTATTAATGTTGATATTGTCTCATTGAGAATTATTATCTTTTTGTATTATGTTCTTATCCAATTTTGTAGATTAACATTTTCACCGAGCTACCATCGTCATTTGCCGATTAATTATAGCCATCATACTAAATTTTTTATTACACCTCCAATGTTTATGTTACATGTTTAAAATATATTCTTGTACATAAATAAACATATCAAATTCTATTGTAATCTTACAGTTATTACGTATATTGTTATGTTGCCTCATTCATTATTTGTATTATTATGCGATGATTTCTGTTTGTTAATATTTTGCAATTTAGAGTTAATTCATTGACGTGTGTTTATTCTTTTGGAAACTGTTTTTTCTGATTAGATAAGTGGTCCGTTATGGCTCTCTGGTCAGTATGTCATTAAATATAATAATAAAAATAAATAAATTTTTAGTTATTTTAGACTGCATTTTTATATATACATTTACGTAAAAGCTTTTTTCGGTAACCTTTAACATCATCAGTATAATAAAGTTTGTGATATTGTTATATGTAGTTAATCAGATATTATAATTTTTTCAACAAAGGAACTCTAAGTTACATTGTTTTTTGTTGGTAGGCTCGTTTACAGCCTGTTGGATATTTATTATAGGGTTTCTATTTTTTATTAATAAAGCCTCTGCCATTCTCAAATTCTTATATTTTGGTTGTAATACAACATTTTGGTTTTTGAGTTTAATATTTTTCTTGTTATTTTTATTCTGTGTGAATCCATTAGATGATTTTTTATTGCACAATTTTGTGTATAAATTGTTAACCTTCTTGATAAAGTCGTTGTAGTAAATCCGATATGTTATGTGTTTCGGTGTCTACAATTACCGATTTTACGTGTTAACTGATGAACTTCATATAACAATATCACAAACTCTATTACACTGATGATGGTAAAGGTTACCGAAAAAAGCTTTCATGTTAATGTATATATGAAAAATGCAGTCTAAAATAATTAGAAATTTTATTTTAATTTTATTATTAATTTGAATAAATTGAATAATATCGATAAAATAATAGTTCGAAAAATTGAAAAACGTAGTTACAAACTCAACAACTCGGAAATGCGGTGATATTTTTTAATAACTATATATATATATATATATATATTTATATATAAAGACCATAATTAATGCAATAATTTATGAAATCTACAGAATTTCTAGCGTTGGATAGTTTTTTTATTACATTTCTCAATTTCTTGTCGTCATCATTTATTTTATTAACGTTAGAATAATATGCAGTTTTCCAATTCATTCTCGAGTGTATAGGACCTATTTCGATTTTTCAATCATCTTTAGCACTGGTTGCTGTTTCTATAGGAAATTTCTATAACCCAGTACTTTTTGCAGTTTTTATATAGAATTTGTATGACCCAGGCCTGTGTTCTTGTGATTTGCATTTACGAAACAGGTTTTCTACAAAAATTCATTGAAAAAGTTGTATGATATCGCGACATGTATGTGTATATCAAGAGAATTATGCAAATGCATAACTAAAGTGCCTGCTGCTGAGAAAATATTTTTAAAGACCAGCGAAATGATCGCAAAATGTATATTGGTTCTGTAGATAATGTGATGACACAATCTATCCAACGTAGGGAAGCTATGAAACGAATGTATGATGATTTTATGAAAAAATCCGTCTGTAGACCAAGTACTTCGTCTATTCAAATGATAGTTTCAACATCTGGTAGTTCTTCAACTGATATACCAGATGAGGATGAGATTCGCGTCATAGAAACGCCACTTCGATCTGGCAAAGAAACTCAAAAAAGGAGAGGTCAGTTGCAAAATTTAGCTTCCGTATGTGATAGAACTGGAATTTCTGATCGATCTGCGGTATTTATTGTTAACGCTGCCTTGCTTGATTTGAATGTTATTAATACAGACGATTCATCAAAAGTAATAGACAGAAGCAAAATACGTCGAGAGCGAAAAAAAGTAAGCAAACATTTGCAATATGCTGACAGCAATAAAATTATTACAGTTATTTATTTCGACGGTCGTAAAGACAATACTTTTGTCATGACTACTACTAACAATACAGCACATCGGAAAACTATTACTGAGGAGCATATTTCTCTCTTATCAGAGCCAGATTCTGAATACATCGGTCATTTCTCTATTGATTCTGTAAAATCAAATACGATTGAAAAAAGCACTGTTGATGTTCTTGAAATGAAATTTGAATTTTGTTCTTCCTTGGTGGCAATGGGATGCGATGGCACAGCGGTAAACACGGGACCCAAAAATGGAGTCATTGATTTACTACAAAAACACCTGAAACGACCTTTGCAATGGTTTGTGTGCCTGTTACACGCAAATGAATTACCGTTTCGCCATTTGTTTTCCAGTCTCGAGGGTACTACAACAGGCTCTAATAGCTTTTCTGGCAGCATAGGAAAAAGGCTCGACAACTGTCTCGACTTCAAAGTGGAAGCATTTGAACCATTCCCAACAGAATTGCTAGGCCTGAATACTGATTTGCTAAGCAGCGATCAAAAATATATGTATCAGATGTGCTCCGCAATTTCTCCTGGTACGGTATCACCAAACTTAGCTATTAAAGATCCAGGAAAACTGACACATCCTCGATGGCTGACTTGCGCAAACAGGATTCTTCGGTTATATATTGGAACAGCAATGGAAAACTTTAAAGATTTAGCCAATTTCATCATAAAAGTTTACGCACCAACCTGGTTTGATATCAAGACAAAATCATCTTGTAAATATGGTCCAATTAATGTGTTCAACATGGTTAAAAGGTGTTTATATTTGCGTGATGACCTAAAAAACATTGTCTTTAAAACCGTTCAAAAAATGCTTTTTTCGCTCATCCAGAAAATATGTTGCTAGCTATGTTACAAGATGATGCAGAACACAAAAGTGAATTGGCTAATTGGCTAATTTCTAACGTTAATAAAATAAATAATGACGACAAGAATTTGATTCGAAATAATGAGAAATGTAATAAAAAAAACTATCCAATGCTAGAATATCTGTAGATTTCATAAATTACTGCATATATATATATATATATATATATATATATATATATATATATATATATATATATATATATATATGTTAGTAATAGACCATAATTTTTACAATATTCTATAAATTCTACCGAGTGTTTGGCGTTAATATGTTTGTAGTTCGTTTTTTCGATTTTTCTCACTAAAGTTTTTTGGTGAACGTTTAGTTTATTAAAATTCAAAATAAACTTATTTTTCGAATTCATGCTGCAAATAAGGCCATATTTCGATTCCGAATGAATCATCATCAGTGCTCCTTGCTGTATATATAGGGAAATGTTGACTTTGTCAAGATGAACTTTGACGTTGTAAAAAACACCAAAGTTAAGCTGAAACTTTGATTCAATAAAAAAAAACATTGAAGCCATGATGAATGCACAACACTCAGGTGTTATGGATGCATTGAATAACAATAGTTATAGAATGCTTTCGGCTATAAACTCCATTGTATCAGATCGTGCACATGACCAGATAAATTTAAATTCTGCTAAGTCAAGCAACGTAGCTGCCGAGTCTATAGCTGTGCCTTGTACGATACACACGGAAATAATAAACAAAGCTAATGAAAGTATAAAAAACGTTAATGCCAATATAGCAAACAAAAAGTGTACCGTTGGCTGATAGAGTTAAACCCGGTAATCAATCTCCGGACGATAGTGATTCAACGGATGGCTTCCAACTCGTCAAATCTAAAAATATATAAAATCAATTAATTCGCAGTTAACCAATGTTAATTTGAAGACTAGCAATGATAAAGGTCACAAAAAGCAAACTACATTTTTTGGAACAGGCATTAACTGTAATCTAAAATCATCTAAAATTATTGAAAAAATCTACCTACTACGTTGGAAATGTGAGTCCGTGTAGTAAGGAAGTTATTAAAAATCATTTAAAGACAAACGGTATAAACTTCAATCACTGTTTCCCGATCTTCCGTAAAAGGGCATCTGATGATGCATCAACAGCAGAGAAATCAACAAAAGAATCCACAGCATTTAAAATCATTTTTCCTTTATCGGAGCAACCTACTTAAGTTAATTAATCCAAATATTTGGCCAAGATACACGTTTCTTCGCCAATGGACTTCTTGTATACGAAAAAATCTGATGACAACGACACGAAGAGAAAATCGATCCTCAACCATGCCGTCGTTAAATGATTGTAACATCACTGCTGATCTTGGTCAAGCAGCATCCTTCACTGAAGTTGAACCTTTTGCCGACAATGATGAAGTGGGCGGTAAATTTCATGATCCAGATGTTAATTTTTTTAATTTTTAAAATATTCAATCACCTTTTCTTTTACCTAAAAAAATTATAAATTATGTGAATAATGTAAACTCATTTTTTATGTTACATTTCAATGCAAGAAGTTTAATAAACAAGATGACTGAACTTAACAGCGTATTATATTTATGTAACAATATTTTTTCAATCATTTGTGTAACTGAAACATGGTTAACTGATTATAATTATCATTTAATTAATTTACCTAACTTTAATTTTATATGCAAAAATTGTAGCAATAGAACTGGTAGCGGCGTTGGCATTTTTATTCACCAGTCTTTAAGATATAATATTTGTGAGGACATCAATATCAGATCTTTATACTTTGAATCACTGGTTGTTGAAATTTGTGTATCTTATTATTTAAACTATTTTATTTACGTAATTTATAGACATTAATTTACAATTATTTCTTGACGACTTGAATAATTTGTTTTCTAAATTGATTTTTTCTTAAAAAAAAGCATGTATATATACTAGGGGATTTTAATATTGATCTTTCTAAAACAAACTGTAGGCTTTTAAAAATTTAATGTTCTCGTATAATTTAAATCCATTAATATGTTTGCCTACCCGTGTTACTTCATCGTCATCTTCTGTTATTGACAACATTTTTACTGATAATCATAATTTGCACAAATCTGCCGTTTTATGCTCTGATATTTATTATCGTTTCCATATTTTACTTCCTTAATTAATACTTACTTAATTCTTTTAAAACAACTTGCAAATCTACTTTATTGCGCAACCTCAAACCACATAATCTAAGTTAAACTGCTTTCTACATAATTTTGACTGGAGCTTTCTCTTAAATATTACTGATACTAATACTGCCTTTGAATACTTTATTACTATTTTTATTAATGCTATTGTCCGTTTACTAAATCACGTCAAATTTTCAAGCAGCCATGGATCACAATCGGTTTGTTAAAATCTTCTAGAACTAAAAATAATCTGTACAAAAAGTTTATAAAAACTCGTTCTCTCTCTGATCATTTAAAATACATTAAATATAAAGATTTATTTACTCATCTTTGTAAAACTACAGAAATGTCGTACTTTCATAATCAATTTCACAAGCCTAAAAAATGGCAACCAAAGCTGGAACTTATTGAAATCATGCCTGAGATTATCTCAGTCAAATTTAAATTACTTCTTTAAGGTTGAAGATGTTGTTTTTAATGACGAGTTATCATTATGTAATCATTTTAATAAGCATTTTTCATCTTTGTGTGATATAAATTCTTCATGTTATACATCGCACTTAACTTATGATTATAATATCATAAATAATTTTAATAGTTCTAGTCATGCCGAAATTTTTAACTCCTTACTAAAGAAAATGACAAATATTATTACTTCTGTGCTTCTAATTAATCTTTCTTTTTCTAACTCTATTTTTCCTAACTGTCTTAAATTATCTAAGGTAATTCTTTTATTCGAATCTGTTGATAAACAGGAAGTCAATAATTATCGCCTCATTTCTTTGATCTCAAGTTTATCAAAAATTATTGAAAGAATTATTTTTAAAAGACTGTCTCTATTTTTTCAGTCCAATAACATCTTAACTAGCCAGTATGGTTTCCGTCCTAAGTTATCTACCGAATTTGCTATTTCCGATCTGAATACTTTTGTTTCTAATGCCATTGAATAAAAAAATATTCCATAGGCATTTTTCTGGATCTAACCAAGGCATTTGACTCCATTGATCATAGGATACTTACTACTAGATAAACTCAAGCGTTATGGCATTAGAGGTCATGCTCATGAATGGTTTTTATCTTATTTAAGTAATCGTTCTCAATATCTCTAAATAAACCAAACTGTGTCCAGCTCTCTTCCTTTAAATCGCGGTGTGCAGCAAGGTTCTTGGCCCTTTACTTTTCAATATTTTTTTATTAAATTTCAATCTAAGGGTATTCTGTTATAATTTTTGACATAATCAGAACTACATAATATATTATATAGCAGATTTAGTAATGGTTGTACATAAATGCATTAAAGAAGATTGGCAATTGTTGCAAATGTTACTTTTTTCATATAAGGAACACATTTAGGGGGGGGGGGGGGGAAAGATAAAAAAGTTTATCTTCGTTTTTGAGAGGCACTCTACTATATATGTTATATATGATATATTATTTTCCAATTTTTCATATACTCTGAACTGTTGGCCGATACAAGATTTTTAATATTACAGGTCTCCGGGTCAAATCTTTACTGGTTTGATAAATAAACAAATTGTTAATAGTGAATTGCTTCTAAATGCATGAACCCACTTGGGTTAAGCGAAAAATTAGAACAAGGCACAAATGAAATCTTATGATTTATTTGATGGATCCTGGTCCGTACTCCAGAATGAGCACTTTGCATTACTGAAGCATTATCATAACCTAGGCTTCGACAAATATTATATTGATATCCAAACCATGGTCATCAATAATGTCTACAAATTTTTCTGTGATATCCATAGCTTTCATTTCAGCAAAAGGAAAAAATCCTACAAACGGTTCTCTGGCCTCCACATTTTTGATAATCTTGTTTAATTGAGATATGTATCATAAATTGAGTCAAACATTATCCCATAATACTTTACTTTTTTACATCTTCAATAATTTTCTATTTTACGGTACCTCCAAAATATAGATATGAATTCATTCGGTCAGAATATATAGCATATTATAATACTACATAATGTGTTTAATTATATATGAAAATAAAAAAAAACACAAAACTATATCTATGTATACACTTATTAATGAAATTATTTATATTAAAATTTGTGTATATCGTCTTTTCGGAAAACCCTCTTAATCCGCTCCCCGCCCCCTTCGGTACGCTAGCGCTCTACAATTGTCCGTGCATAAAATAGTAAGATTCAACGTTGAATACCATCGGTATTTTTATTTATTTTTGTTATTTATTTATTTGTTTATTTTTTCATTCATTTATTTGTATTTTTGTATATTTATTTATTTATTCATTCATTTGATGTAATTCAAAAGATTACAATTTTATCTGATTATTTTCAAGGATAAATTTAAACAAACTTTGCTGAGCCAAGCTGAAGACTTAAGAAGACAAATTGTAAATTTGGTCGAAGATTTCCACATTAGAGGTTTGAAAAAAAAATAATAAAAAAAATTTTTAACATTGGATTAATTTCTAGGGCCCTTTGGTGGTTTGACCCCAGTAACTGAAGCACTTCATCTTCTAGATTGGTTTAAAGAACAAATTGTCATTATGAGGGAACAAGAGTCAATCATTAAAAAGGGACTCATGCTATTTAAATTAGATCAACCACCTTCAAAGGACATAAGTAAAATGGAACAGGTAGAATTTACCAATTATCAAATACGTGAATTTTTATACCTCGCTATATTATTTTACATACAAATAGGAGCTTGAACAGTTGGAGCAAGTTTGGCAATTAGCAAAACAATGGGATTTTCATTGGAATTTATGGAAGACTCAAAAAATTTTGAATATTAAATCGAAAGAAATTGATGACATATCCTACACGGTTTTAAAAAAAATTTCAAAGCTTGCCAAAGAAATGAAAGTAGATATTTTATTTTTTAATTTTAAAATTTGGTTACTTTTTTTTATTAAGTTTTGCAACATGTAATAATGCAAATAATGAAAATAATAAATAATTAGATTTATGATAAAATTAAAGTAAACAATTATGTAAGTTTAGGTATTCGTATTCTCTCATTCTCTCTCATTCTCTCTCTCTCTCTCTCTCTCTCTATATATATATATATATATATATATATATATATATAGTTTGGGATGCATATTTCATTAAATTTGTATGCCCATTCTGCGTTCAAAAGTTTTTTGATAAGAACTTCAACACCACTATTTTTTTTGAATTTGTATTTATTCAAAACATCCATGAAATTTGTCAGCTGAGAGCGCTGTTTCGGCTAAGTAGCCATCATCGGAGCTGAATATTATTGTGAATAATATTAAAATATTAAGATCATTGAAATGAGATAAATTAGGAAAATATAAAATAATATTAGAATGAAATTAAATTATATATTGAATGTTGATAATAATAGTTTAATAATATAACGTACCTTTAAAATATGGTTAAACATACAATTGAACATAAAGTTAAATAATTAAACATATTTATAGTTAAATTTTAGATATCGTGACGCAGGGTCACCATCTAACAGTTTCTGCCATGTTGCTGCCATGTTGCTGCACAATGACGACAGTAATTGTTTTTGGGCGTTGTTTACAATTTCGTCGTAGATGTCGTTTTTCTCCGCAATTCCGGAATTTTGGTGCACCACAATCCTGACCCTTCTGTTCTAGAACCATCTTTTAACATGAACATTCTCTACAAATTTGGCGTAGTTTTACGCCAGTCTTTGAAGCTTGCTTTGCGGACTTGAATGTAAAACTGTACGAAACGGCGTTTTTGAGGTTGCGTTTGTCCGTTAGTATGAGGGTTTGTTCAAGATCTGAATCTCGAGCTGCCTTAAAAAACGTTTCCAATGCAGTTTTTTTTATTGTTGTGGGTCAAACGTAGGATATGACAGTAGGGTCAACCGTTCAATATCCTGTGCCAGCTGCTATATTGACTCTCCAGGTCGCTGCCTCCGGTTTCATAACTGGGACCGTAATATTCAGGTTTTCAACTATTGTTCATCATAACGTAAATTCAACGCATTAACCAAGACATCATAGTTGGAATGGTTCTCGACTGGAATCGTTTGGATAACTTCTGCCGCTGATCCTCGTAACCCAACCACAAAAGCCGTTGTCTGCTCTTTTTCATTCCAGCCATAATTCGTGGCTTTATAAATGTTTCAAGAAATTTCTCCGTCGAATGCTGCCGCTTTCATTGTCTTTGCAATCACGTGGTTTGCTGGCTTACAGGTGTGGAGTTTATTTTTTTAGTTTCTTCCAGATCTTGTTTAAGTTTTTTAAGTTCATCCATTTCCAAGATAACTTCTGGTTGAGCTCAATAACCTTTTGATCAACATTCTGTTCAATTTTTGACGTGACGTCTTCTATTTTTGTATTTATTACGGCCAATTGCTGTTCAGCTTTGACATCAATTTTTTCTCTGAGTTCTCTCAACTGTTGTATCATTTTAGCATCAATCGCGGCCGACTGTTCAATTTTTGCATCAATTTGATCTCTCGTCTGTTTTATTTTAGCTGATTGTTGTTCAGTTTTTGTAGATTGTTGTTTTATTTTTGATGATATTTTTCAAAATAGATCCATCAACTCTGTGTTTGCCCCAGCGTCTACAACTGTAATCGATTTGACATACTGATCGTCAAACACGAATTCATCTGGATTCTTGTTTTCATTAACAAGGGCTTTTGTTAGGCGTGCCTTCAATGCTCTTTTGTTTCTACTGTAACAAGATTCCGTTTTTGTAACACTTTTTTGAGTTGCACCAATTTAAGTTAATGTAGTTTCGTCATGTTGTTTTCACAAAATAATTTGTCGACGAAAGAAATTCAAAATTTTCAACAACGATGCTCACTTATTTTCCACCGAAGATCCCACTTCTGACACCCATGTTATAACTGGCTGGTCGACGACGAGTTTGTTTAATCCTAGTGAAAAAGAAAGGCAATATGACTTTTAAATTATCGATTTATTTATTTACAAAACAATAAGTAATTAATTAATAATCAACGTTATTAAATTTTACTAATAATTGTTAATGTTCACAAACTATCAAATTAATGCTCAGAAACTATTGCTTTTTGAATAACAATTCACCAACGTTTATCGCAAATACAAATAAAAACACAACGCATTCAAGTATCAAATATTGTTTTCAACACTAATAATCAATCGCACTCTAATATCAAATATTTAACGACTCATTCAATATCTCGTATGCCTTTATACCAACGCTTCTCGAACTTCCTAGCTCAGGCTTGTCCAACCAGCGGCCCGCGGGCCAGAATCCGGCCCGTCAAAAGTTTTCATCCGGCCTGTCGGCCTTCTTAAAAAAATATTCAAAATATAAAATTAAAAGTATTTTTATTGAGTTGATTAGATGTAAATTTTAATTTTTTTAAAAACATTAATTAATAATAATGCGCTACGACCGCGATTCATTTAAAATAGTTTCCTTGACGACGCAAAGGACAACGTAAATAAAACGTAACTAGCAGACGATATTATGGCATCCGTCGATAAAAAAAACGTAAAATTGATTCTGAAAATCGTATTTTTTAAAGTTTGTGGACAGAAAGTTATTTTGTTGTGCAGCAAGCCGATGTTATTTTGTGCCTCATTTGTCAAGAAATAACAACAAGTAAATTTGGTAGTGTGGTGGGCCAAACACGAACTGATCGCATCAACTCGATGAAACAGGAAATTGTTGCTCAACAGTCATTTTTTAAAATTGGCAACCAGAGTGCCGAAGCAACAAAAAAAGTTAGCTATTTAATTGCAGAAGCTATAGCTAAGAGAGGAAAACCATTTTCTGATGGAGAACTGGTGAAAAACTGCTTAGAGATATTTACAGATGTTGTTTGCCCAACAAAAAAGTCTTTGGTGGAAAACGTGAGTCTTCCTCATCAAACTATTGGTAAAAGAGTTGACGATATGGCGAAAAATATTGAAGATACCTTGGTCAGGCGACTTAACGATTGTGAATATTACAGTTTGGCAGTTGATGAGAGCACAGATATCAGTGACACTGCTCAACTAGCAATATTTGTTAGAGGGGTTACGAAAACGTTTGATATAGTTGAGGAACTGTTGGACATGTGCCCAATGAAGAGCACACTAACTGGAAAGGATATTTTTGAACAAGTTATTCTGGCAATAGAAAAATTCCAGTTTTAAAAAACAAACTTGCTGGTGTAAAAACAGATGGGGCGTCAAGTATGATAGGAAAGAAGAGTGGATTTGTAACCTTGTTAGCACAATCAGTGCCTCAGGATATCATTACATACCACTGTATTATTCACCAAGAAAACTTGTGTGCCAAGACCCTTGACATGAAGCATGTAAGAGAAAAGATTGTGTCAGCTGTTAACTTTATCAGATCTAGAGGTCTTAACCACAGGGAGTTCAAATCATTTCTTGAAGATGTGGGCTCAGATTATGATGATGTTGTATACTTTTGCCAAGTTCGGTGGCTAACCAAGTCAACCACGCTATCCAGATTCTGGAGTTTACGTCATGAAATAAAGACATTCATGATTAACAAAAAAAGGAGGTAGCGTTTTTGGATGACAACTTCTGGTTGAATAATTTGGCATTTTTGATTGATATGACAAAATGTATGGCTGAATTGAATGTTAGACCTCAAGGAAAGTACCAGCTTGTGTACAGATTGTATGAACACATTGTTACTTTTATTGAAAAGTTAAAGTTAGTTCAGAAACAGATGGTTCAGAAAAAAGTAACACATTGTGCAATTCTTTCCACAAGACCTGTGGACACAGTGCAGCATGAAAAGTACAATGAACTTCTTGTCAAACTGATCGATGATTTCCAGCAAAGGTTCCAGGATTTTAAAAAGCACAATGACTTTATGAAATTGCTAAGTAACTCATTAAATGTTGACCCCACTGATGCTGCTGACAAATACCAAATGGAGCTAATTGATCTTCAGAATAACTGTGATTTGAAGAGATCTTTTGTGGAACATGATTTTCTAACTTTCTACAAGTGTTACATATCGTCAGAAAGTTATCCTAATTTGACAGAAGATGCCAAGAAGTTTATCGCTTTGTTTGGTAGTACTTATTGCGGTAAACAACTGTTTTCAAGAATGAAAAATACAAAGACGAAGTCAAGATCTTTACTTAAAGATGGACGTTTGACAGCCTCATTGCGTATAGCGACTTCAAATGTTGGAGTTGGAGCAGATATAGAGTACTTATATAAACGCAAACAATGTCAAATTTCTCACTAAAATTAGACATTAATGTATTTACATATATACTTTTATTTTGTAATAAAAAAATATCTATCCATTATTATGTTACACTTTTATTTATTGTTAATAATGCAAAATGGGCTATCAAATTTTTAATCCGGCCCGCGACTTCTAGCTAAATTGTCAATCTGGCCTTCTGAACAAAAAGATTGGTAGCTAGATATCTCGCTGTCGTAAGGTTCAAGTTCCTTCTCGAACTGTACGTATGCGTTCGTAGCGACACTAGCCCTCTAGCGAATATATTTGTAACAGTTATAACAGTATTTTGATCAATATCTGAGTGCATCTTTGTGGTGTATGAAATCTTGCACTATGTCCGATATAATTAGTATGTTATTCAATCTACTAAATGTTTGAAATACGGAAGGTTATTAGAATTGTAGGTTGTCAATTTTTATTTTTTCATTAAAGATTAGTTGTTAAAACTGATTTGGTGTATCGACTTTATGTTATTTATGCTGCTTATGTGTATATTTTTTATGTTATTATTATATGATTCAATATCGTCTGTGGGTCATTTTATTCATTTTCAATATGTTAAGAGGATAACTGTTACTGGAATAAATGCTACTGCTAATTATATAATTTTCACAAATATTACAAAAAACGACATTTTTTTTAAAACTTCGGAAAATGATTTACGATGACCTTTTGACCGTTTTTGTCGCCAACCAAAAAATTTGTAAAATATTATATTCTAATCTCTTACTAGAAATTTATAAAGTTGTTAATGAATTTATTGTTATGGTCCATTTCAAATATATTTTATTTAGAGAAGAAAAGTAATTTCATAAGTATTTTTATAAGCTTGGATATAATTAATTATAACTAAACCTTAAAATAACTATTTGTAGAATTACAATATGTTCATTTCAATTTTGAATACTTTTCATATAATTTATAATATAAATTTTATCAATTAATTAACTAATACTTCATTTATTATTGCAGATCTATAACTGGGATGTTGTTGAAACTGTGAAAAAAAAAGTTGAGTTGTTAAGGACCATGATTCCAGTTTTAATAAGTTTAAACAACATTGCAATGAGGGATAGACATTGGCAGCAAATTCAGGTAATAGCCGAATTATATTTGTCATCATAGATTGATTAATTTAGGAAAGGCAAATATGCATTCTTGAATGCAGGCAACATCTTTGTCATTTACAGCGATTTGACTACTAGCAAAATTTACAAAAAGTAAATTACAATTCAAAATGGAATATGCCAATGGCATACTACCATTTTTTGAAATATTATTACAAGCCGACACTGACAATAATTTCAATCTAACATCCATTTGAATCAACCAATCTAATGAAAAACCTACTTTTCAATCATAAGTGAATGTCGCTCTTCATATGAGAATAGCACTATATAACAAATTTTTAAGTCAAGTTTTTACTCATTTCTCAAACTATACTAACATCATTAGAGTCAATAACACAAACAACATCATTCTATAGCCTGTACAAAACTGATAAGAAAGTTATGAAAAATATTTAAAACAATGTTATATTAACCGATTAAAATACCACATTGCAACTCCGGATATATTACACGGAAGCGATGACTTCAACCTTTAGACTGAAAATTAGTTTCTTTTTTGCAAGAGATGGATAACTGGTTAACAAAATCAAATTCATAACACTGGGAATGATACAAACTAGTCGCCACATAGGAAGGACAAAAGGAAGTTATTGCCAGAGAACTGTTAGCATATAAAATTTGATTGCGACGGTCTCTAAATTTTGATTCACCGGATCTGGATGCATGAACTAGGTAATAGATGCTTACCCGACGTTTTAAAACGTATGGCATCAAGTTAACAAATTTCAAATTATACATTTTGCTTACAATCAGAACAACTCTGACCTTGAAAATGTCGCCTGAAGTTTTTGTTACACAACCGAAACTGTTCAACCTAGCTTGTCTGATTTTTGGACAAAATTTATGCATTCAATATTACATTTATATTACAATTTCTATTATTTTGAGGCTTCTAAAATTACATGGAACACAATTAAAAACCAACCGACCTAATCAGCCAAATGCATAAACAGTGTTACAGCTCCTAATTGAACGATGCAAAGAGTGTGCGCAGTGAAAATGCATTCAATAACAAAAGCTTTAAAAAACCTCCACTTTATCGTATAAGAGTTTATTTTTTATTTTTTACAATTTGATTTGAAGATTTATTTGAGATTTTAGATTGTATCACAATTTTGTCTTTGATTTTGTTGATATAATTTTACTCATTTCAACATGATCAATGTTAACAATCGTATGACCTTGTTGGCACAACAAATAATTAACAATAGTTGATAAATGTGGTTAGTAAAAGTCACAGCAAAATATGGAACAATGTTGAAAAGTGTGAAGATTTAGATAAAATCATTTCAATTATTAACTGAGTGATAGAAACCTAACCAAATCTTTTGTTCAATTATAAAGGGCGATTGCAATCAACCAATTTTAGTGGACTGAAAGTAGAAAATAATAAAGTTGTTGAATATATTTGTAAATTATATTTCATATAATTATCTATGTTTAGGTATTCTTTGAATTTCTATTCTGTGCTTGTAAATTATGTTTCATTACTTTGGTATTATCTGATATATAAATGGAAATAGCACGAGGTTATATTTTATTATTGTTGGCTTTGTAAACGATCCTGGAATTTAATTTTTCTACTTAGATTAATAAATCAGGTTATTCGAAAGCAAACTTATAAATTAAATTTTAAAAAGAAGATGGCTTCAAAAACAAGTATGTTGTATTTTCATATTGTTAAAAGAAATAATGACGAATTTGAATTAGCGGTCATATCGGAAAATAAAGAAACATGGTATGTCCTACCTGAAGAGAAGAAAGATTTAAGTTTGCACGAAGCTCTATTTACAAAGCGAGCAAAATCAATACAATTAATTCTATAAAACTTATCAACGGTTATCGCACAATTTGCATCAAACTCGATGATGAATTGAGAAAAGAATATTACGACGAAGACGAAAATCTATGTTTTTTAGATAATATGTTAGACGAAAAAATTATTGATAATAAACAGATGAATCAGAGGACAATTTTTTAAATGAACGAATTAAGGAATTAAAAAGTAAGCTAAGTCTGAATGATAACTTTGAGCTGCAAGACGATGAAAAAAAATTTATTTTGGAAAAATTCAACAAAAAGCAAAACCCTACTGGACGGATAGAGAAATTTGAAAATGAATGTAGAAGGCATAAAATACTAAATCCTACTAATGTCATAGAAGCATTACACTTCTTTTTATCTGGGTCACCGAAAGATTGGTTCGAATCAAATTTAAAGAAAGATCGGCTTAACTAATTGGTCAGAATGGAGAAAGTTCTTTCTGACCATTTTTGCAGATAGAGGTTGGAAAAAAATAAGAACCGCATATAATTACAAATATTTAGGTGGTTCTTTAATAGACTATGCCTTAGCGAAGGAAAACCTAAGTTTAGAAATTGAAATGTTGAGAATAAACATGATCGTTATGGGCTTTCCTGTAGAAATACAAAATAGAGAAGAAATAACGACCAATGAGAAACTGTTCAAAGAACTAACAAAAAGTGATGAATGCGTTTTTAACATCAAGCCGAAATATGACAATAAATTTTTAAGTAATAAAATACCATACAATACGGATGTCAAGGCAAAGCAACTTTATCAACACAAACAGAGATATGAAAATGTAGACAAAGATATTTCGGTACCAAAATACAAAGTAGAAGCAAAGACAAATAATACTCTAAATAAACAAAATCAAAGATATGAAAATAACACTCTAAATAAAAAAAATTTTGTTAGACCAAATTTTATCAGGTCAGAGAAGGATATTAATACCACAGCAAATAAACCATGTTTTATGTGTGAAGAATTGGGCTAGAAAAATCGATACCATCTAACAAATGAATGTAGAAATGAGTCTCTTTACTCATCAAAAAGAGAAATTAATATTCATGATACTAATTACCAAACAGATGACGAAGCACATATGATGAAAATTGAAATTGACAAGAAATCTTTAAACTAGAAAGCCCGGTAAAATTGAATGCACTGATAAGAGTAAGAGTCTAATAAATAGGAAAATCATAGATATTTTAAAACTAGGCTTAATGAATAATAGAAGTACTTTTAAAACCATCAGTGGGTTCAATTTTAGTTCGGCCCGGGCAAATATAGTTGTTAAGGTTGGTAATTTAACGGATAATTTAAATACATACGTAGTTAAAAATAACAATTTCTCCTATGACCTGTTATTGGGTCTAGATGCAATAAAAAAGTTCAAACTAATTCAAGATGAAAATTTTAACATTCTACAAAGAATTAATAAAAACAAGATCATCAAAATAGAAGAAAGAGATAAGATGAATAACAATCACAACATGGTTAAATCAGATGAACTGACTGACAACCAATTTAATCTACAAAAGGCAGAAAAAAATAATTTAATTAAAATTTCAGAAGTCAATTTTAACGAAAATATGAATAATACAATTTGTAAAAATTTAGACTACATTAAAGATGAAAATAGAAGAAAAGATATTTTAAATTTAATAAACAAGTACAAACATATGTTTGCAAAAGATAAATATGATGTAGGAAAAGTGAAGTCTAAAGAAGCAAAAATAAAATTAACCAGAGATGAATATGTAACAGCAAGACCATATAAATGTTCCATAGTTGATGAAGAGAAAATCAAGACTCAAGTCAAGAAGTTATTAAAAGCTGATTTAATTGAAGAATCGAAATCCCCTTGTGCCTCGCCGGTAACTCTTGCTTTTTAAAAAGATGATGGTCGTCGGACAAGACTTTGCATTGATTTCAGACGATTAGATAAATTAGTAGTTCCTGGATGCTATCCATTCCCTACTATTAATGATGTCATAGATAAAGTACCAAATTGCAAATATTTCACTGTACTTGATATAAATTCTACATTTTGGTGTATATTATTAAAAAAAGAAGATAGAGAAAAAACTTCATTTATCACTAATTATGGAAAATTCATGTTTAAGGTTTTACCCTTTGGTCTTAAAAATTCTCCAGAAATTTTTCAACGTATTCTATCCAATATCATAAAAAGAAATAATCTTGACAATTTTTGCATTAACTATATTGATGACATACTTATATTTTCACGCTCTTGGGAAGAACACATTATTCATATTGAAAAAACTCAATAAATTATCACAGAAGAAGGTTTTAAATTAAAATTAGAAAAATGTAAGTTCGCTGCTAAAACCATTAAATATCTTGGACATTTTATTCAAGAAAATAAAGTAGCACCAACTCAAGAAAATTTAATTGCCATCAAGAATCTTAAGAGACCAACAGATAAAACAGGAGTTAGAAGTGTGTTAGGATCTATTAACTTCTACCTTAAATACATCGAAAATAGTGCTCAAAAATTTTAACCACTGCATAAGCTTTTGAAAAAAAATGTTAAGATTGTGAAGATTCTTTCAACTTGATAAAAGAATATTTATGTTCTCAGCCTATCTTAGCCATTTACGATAAAGCCAAAGACACTTATATTGAAACTGATGCCAGTTATAAAGAAATGGGAGCTACTTTGAAACAACTACATCCTGATGGTATGTTACATCCTGTCGCATACTTCTCAAGAAAATTATCAGAAAAAGAAAATGAACATCATCCATCTTGAATGCAAAGCTATCAAAGACGCAATAAAATACTGGCAATATTATTTGATTGGTCGTGAATTTGTTGTTTGTAGTGACCCCAAACCTCTAGAGAATCTAAAAACTAAAAGTAGAACAGATGAAATATTGGGCGATTCAGTGCACTATTTGTCTCAATTCAACTTTAAAATTATTTATAAGAAAGGAAAGGAAAATATAATGGCTGATTTACTTTCTCGATCACCAGTATTAGAATATTTTGAAAATGAGGATGCAGTCCAAGTTGTAAATTTAATTGAAAGACCTGAAATTCTTCATGATCAAAATGACAACATGACTGAATTAAAGAGTGCCAAGAAGTTTGAAAAACGCCATGATATTATTTACAAAAAATTGAAGGACAAATCAAGGATATTTGTTTCTGATAAATTTGGTTTAAGAATAATAAAAAAAAGGTACATGAATATTATGGACATATTGAAGCTGGAACATTGAAAGAGAAAATAAGACCATTTTATTATTTCAAAAACTTTGATCAACTAATTGAAGAATTTTGTAAAAGTTGCACTATATGCTTAGAGAACAAAACTAGAAGAATTAGAATCATCGGATTAATGTCAAAACTAGAACCCGCGACAGAACCATTCCAAATTATGTCCATTGACACACTTGGTGGATTTGCCGATAATAGGTCACCAAAGAAATATAAGCATAGATATGCTTGGATCTCCACTACAAAAAGCCAATGCGCAGCAGATTTCATAAAGTTAATTGACCCGATTGCTAAGAAAAATAATATTAAAATACTTTTAGCCGACCAGTACACCGGAATTAATTTTACAGAACTAAAGCAGTATCTAAACAAGATGAATATTCAAGTGGTTTTTGCATGCGTAGATTGCCCTCAATCAAATGGACTAAATGAAAAACTAAACCAAACACTTGTCAATAGAATAAGATGTAAACTTAACAGTGGAGAAAAACAGGCATGGTCCGTTATTGCAGACGAATGTGTCAAAGAATACAATCGGACAATTCATAGTTCCACGAAATTTGAACCGGAATACTTATTATACGGCATAAAGTCAACTATCACTCCATATGACTTACCTGAAAGCGATTTAGCTGCAGATAGAATACAAGCCGGTCGAAATTCTATGCAAAATTTTGAAATAAACAAGAAAAGGGTTGACAAAAATCGTCAAGAGTATGAATTTGAAGTGGGCAATCAAGTCTATATCCAGAATGGGAGTAAACTTAATAGAGGTAAAATGGACAGAATAAGAGTTGGTCCGTTAAACATTCTTAGCAAGATTTCATCGTCGATCTTCGAAGTAGACTGCGGAAAGAAGAAGAAGGAATCACATTTTTTCACATTAATAAATTGTCACTTTATGTACCTCAAAAAGTGACTTGAGGGAGAGAGATGTAAATTATATTTCATATAATTATCTATGTTTAGAATTTCTTTAAATTTCCTTTTGTGCTTGTAAATTATGTTTCATTACTTTGGTATTATCTTATATATAATTGCAAATAGCATTAGGTTATATTTTATTATTGTTGGCTTTGTAAACGATCCTGGAATTTAATTTTTCTACTTAGATTAATAAACCAAGTTATTCGAAAGCAAACTTATATATTTATATATGCTTATGTATATTCATGCATATACATTAATTTAAAAATTTATTTAAAAAAAATGAATTTATGTATATTCATGCATATACTTTAATTAAAAAATTTATATTTAAAAAATGAATTTGAATAAAAGAATTTTCATTTCCACTATTCAATAATAAAATAATCATTAATTTTAACCATAGGTTGAAATTGGAAGAACTTTTGATCCTTCGTCGCAAGACTTTATTTTAGATAAAATAATGGAATGGGAGTTTAGTTTATATTTAGAACAAATAAATGACATATCTCAATCCGCAACAAAAGAAATAGCCATAGAGCAAGGTTTAGCAGAAATAACTGAAACATGGGAAGGAATTGAATTTGATTTAGTTCCATTCAAAGATAAAGATCAATACAAAATAAGGTCTTGTTTATAATTTAATTATACTTATTCTTTTATTACTATAATAATAAACATGAATTTTAGTTTCTAAATGTAATTTTTTACTCGACGACTTTTTCACTAGTTGTTAAAATATTTTTTTTCAATTCTCTTTCTGTGCCGTAAAGTTTGCTTTTTCTGTTACCCATTTGTGCAAACGTACTAATTTGCCAACTTAATTATGTAAGGGTGTTATATTTGAAGCATGCTATCCCATGATACAATGATAATAATATGAACATTTATATGGCGCCGATTCGCACTGCTGCTTCAGAGGTGCCCGGAGCCTACGTGCATGTTTTTAAATGATCAGTCTTTAGTCTTATTTTGAAAAGACTGTTTTAAATTTATTATTATATATTTATTTTTATATAATTCTCTAATTGCTACATTTTATATCGAGTTAGTTATTTTTTTACAACTCCATCACAAAATAATAATGTAATGTTGATGTTACACAACGTTGTCCGCTCACAACGGACAACTTGACCGCCCTAACTCCACCGTTTCTTCTCGTAGAAAGAGTCCTTCATGTGTGTTGCATGTTGGACACTCTTTCACAGTTCTACCTCTATACATTCATCAACAACTACTCATTGAACGTTACACGAAACAAACAAGGCATTTTTAGTGACAGCAGGAATCTAGAATTTTGCCAGCAGCATCCAAGCGTCCCCTAGAGTGGTGCGCTATAAAAATTGAGCGCCTCTGAAGCAACTGTGTGAATCGGCGTTATATAAATGTTCAGATTATTAGTTTTATTGTCATTATTCCAAGTCAAACTAATTAAAATTATTAAATTTATTAAAGTTGAAGTTATTATTATTTAAATTTGTAAATTAAAGTTATGTGCAATTAATGGCCACTGTTTATAATTTTTTCTGCAGTGCGTCTATATTTCACTCTTCTATCTTGTGAATTTTGTCCAAGAATAAGCTTTTCCTTTTTAATTTTCTTAACATTTTGCTTGTGCTTAAGCTCGCCAATAAATTACCAATTTGATGGATAAGTTTTCAATAATTGGCTGAAGCCACGACGCTATCCTATAATAGATTTTAGTTGTTTTGAACAAATTTTCCAGTTATACTTATTAAAGATTAAAGGTAATTCTCTATTTTGCGCTTGCTTCAGAGGTATCAACGAAAAACACGCACATCGTATATGAATATGCGTGAAAACCATGCATCATACATGTGACGATCCCCAAACTTATGCGCTTAGCGCTTAATAGTTTAGAGCCACTGAGGCGATTAGATAAACCAGTTTAGTTTAGTGGTAGTTAGAAGGTGACATTGAAAAGCGTGATGACAGTTTTGATATTTAATTTTGCCGTACTGTTTTCGTTAATATTCATTCGTTAATCAACTATTTAGTTAATATTCTGTTTGTTAAAATAAAACTTAATGAAAATACTGTTTGGCGTAATTTTAATTAATTAGAGCCTTAAAATAAGAAAAAATTCGTGACAATACACATTGCATATGGTAGGCGGGGTTTTCTTTGAATTCGAACCAAGTCACCGCAGAAGCAAGACCAGGCGCCTTTAACCATTAAGCCATTTCTTTAGTCTTGGTCCTACCATTGGTTTTGTCAGAGGATCAGCAACTTGAAGTTCTGTCGCAACTCGTTCAACTGAAACTTCTTCTTCTGCAACCTTTTTTCTGACAAAGAAATGTCTAATGTGGATGTGCTTTGTTGTTCTGTGAAGTTCTGGATTGTGTGCTAAACGAATTGCTGCTTCATTGTCGACAAAAATTTATGGCTTTTTCTTTAGATCTACAATGTCGTTCAACAATCGTTTGAGCCATATCACTTCACGAGCTGCTTCACTTGCGGCAACGATTTCTGCTTCAGTAGTTGAAATCGCAACTGAGGGTTGACGTTGGCTAAACCAACTGATCACGCTTCCTCCAAACATACAGATTACACCTGATGTCGATCTTCCACTAGATTTATCTCCTTCATGATCTGCATCACTGTAGGCTATAAGTGTATTGTTTTGACCAGACTTGTAAACAATACCGACATCAGCTGTGCCTTGCAAATATCTGAAAATTTGCTTAACTTGTGCTACATTGGACTTGCTGGGTTTCTCTAAACTTCTGGATGCTACTCCAACTGCATATGCAATATCTGGTCTTGTTCCCGTCATCAAGTACATCAATGCACCAACTGCTGATCTGTAAGGAAATTTCACTTCCTCATGTTCATTTTTGTTTTCATTGAACTCCTCAGACTTTGTAATCGGAGTTGTACAGGGTTTACACTGACTCATCCCAAACTTTTCAAGAATAATCATTCTTGTATAGGATGACTGACTGACATTAATATTTCCCTTCTCATCTTGATTAATCTCTAATCCAAGAAAATATGTTGCAGGTTTAGATGTTATCTTGAACTCTGACTTTAATTCTTTTAAAAATATTTTTAGTTCTTCTTTATCGGTTCCTGCAACTAGTCCATCATCAACATACAGTGCAAGTATGAGTTTCTTTCCTCCCTGTATTTTAATGAACAAACAAGTATCTGCATCGCTTTGTTTGAAATGCTTCTTTTTCAAGAATTCAGCAAAGCGTTTGTTCCAACATCTTGGAGCTTGTTTAAGTCCATAGAGACTTCGCTTGAGTTTACAGACTCTTCCTGAATTATCTTTAAAACCTTCAGGTTGCTCCATGTAAATATCTTCATCTAGTTTGTTGTATAGAAAAGCTGTTGACACATCAAACTGCATGAGTGACATCTTTTCATTTGCAGCAACACTTAATAGTGTTCTTATAGTTGAACTTCTGACTACAGGACTATAGGTTTCTTCATAGTCAATTCCCTTTTTCTGAGAAAAACCTTTTACCACTAGCCTGGCTTTAAAACGTTCAACAGAACCATCTGGATTGTATTTTACCTTGTAGACCCATTTGCATGGTATTGCCTTATGACCTTTTGGAAGACTTACCAAATCCCACGTTTGATTTTCCTTTAATGACTGCATTTCACTGTTCATGGCTTTAAACCATTCATCTTTTTCATCACTTTGAATGGCATCTTTGTAGCTCACTGGTTCAAGTACTTCACATAATGCAGACATAACGAAAGGGTCATAACGTGATGGCTTTTTGATATTATTCCTGTCACGTAAAACCATACCTTTGGTCTTTTGATTACAACAGTCAGATTGATCTTCTTCATCAGATGAAACTGAATTACGGTTGTGAACATCTTCATCAGTTGAAATATTTTCTTTAATCAAAGTTTCTTTATTTTCATCTTTGATTTCAACATCAATCGAAACTGTATCATCTGAACAACTTTCTTCTTGCAAAATCACTGAATTTGGTTTGACAACCTTCTCATCAAAAATAACATCTTGATCGATGCATTTTAACACGTTTCTTATTCTGATGTCCCATTCTTTCATGGTATAACTGCAATGCATCTTGATCATTGACAAAGTTAACTTCGACTTCAGAATTCAACGGTCTAACAGTTTTTGCAACAAGTTTGAACAAACCTCCATTGTTGTTTCTTATTCCAACAACACTTATCACATTGTCAATAAGAAGATGACAACTTCTTGAGGTTGAAACAAAAGAGCTATTTCTGTTCTTATCTTGAGTTGCAAGTACTGAGAACAAATTTCTTTTTACTTTTGGCACATACAAGACATCTGTAAGTTTAACAGTTTGCCATTTATTATTCACTTTCACTTGAAGATGAATAATTCCTTTTCTAAAAGCTTCTACAGTATCACCATTTGCAACATATAATTTACTCGGTTGAGAAAATTTTTCAAAACTTTGAAATATGTCTCTTCGGAAAGTTAGATGACACGTTGCACCATTGTCAAAAAACCATTTATCAGTGTACGCTGACTCATCTATTGCAAAAACACTTGATTCCATAACATCTAGTGATTTCTTATTGTCATCGCGTAGATTGTTATTTCTTGGTTTTGCTGGTCTACCATCAGAATGCCATTTTTCACAATTTCTTACAATGTGACCTGGCAATTTGCAATAATGACATATCAGTCGCTTTGGTTTGCTGACAAATTTAACTTGTTTTTGACCATTCATGTTTAGTGATGATGACCTTTTAGTTGTTGCTTTGACAAATAATACTTTATTACATTCTGTTTTGCCATCCAAAGATCTCTCATAGCTACACAGCTGATCTGTAAGTGTTTCGACTGTTCTTTCAGTCTTGTTCAACAATCTCCAACTTGCAGCAAATGAAAAATATTTTTCTGGCAAAGTTTCAATTATTTGGCACATCAGCAACAAGTCACTGTTTTCATCTTTTCCTAACTCAACCTTTAAATCTTTCCAAAGATTCTTGAGTTTTGTGGCATGAGTGACAACATCATCGCTTTCATCTATTTTATAACTAAAGAACTTCATGCACAAGTTGTATGCTTTATCTTCATTAACTTCATCATACAATCTGTGAAGTTCCAAACAAACATCTCTGGCATTACTGAATGAAGGAACTTCTTCATACGTTTCATCGGTCATGTTGGTTGACTAGCACTACAATCTGCTCTGTTGAATCTGTTCAAAGCAGTTTGATATTTTGCTATCTCATCTTTATTTGAGTCATCGTTCGATTCATCTGGAACTTTCAATTTGCCATTTACTACATCCATTGCATCAGGAATGCCGCGTGGTATTATACAAACCCTCGATTTCCAGTTCAACCAATTACTTTTGCCTTCTAGGTGTTTGATTTGCACTTTCGTTAAATCCATTTCTTCCTTGTCTTTTCAATTTGACCTTTCGATTAGAAGCAAAATATCGAATTTCAGAGAATGAAGAAGCACGTGCTTTCTCTTCACTTCAGTCTTCAGAAAGGAATCTTCCGATATTTCTTTATTCTAAATTTTCTTCGTCAAATCAATTAATTAAGAAAAACGTTATCTGGGTCCCATAACCTGTTAAATTTCTTGTCACGTAGATCGTTTAATTAATTGATATAATATTGAAAGACATTAAAAGAAGAGAAATAAACTAAGCAACGTTCTCGACTTGTTTATTATCCTCCGGATCAACAGAAAAGGAAAAAGTGAAGTTACATACAAAGCAAAGAACATTTGGTCCAAAGAAAAATAAATGTATATTATAAATCATAATGTTTTAATATAAAACTTAAAACTTAACAAAATATACTTTAACTTTAATCAAATTAATTTGAATTAACATTTTAAAATGTTCCATATATAGCATACAACTTCGTTCAGATGAATTTAATCGTAACCAATTGCAATAATTTTTATGCTTATAACGCCTAAGTTAATTTTAGTAGCTCAATTGGCTGTGATAATTTATTGCAAATGTTTTCAGGTGAGCATTTGTCGTAATTTTTAAAAAACTATAAAATATTATTGAATGAAGTTATTTGGCTCAATTAATATGTTCATTTTGTTTGAAAAACCTATTGCAGATCAACTGAAGAAATCCAAAATGGACTTGATGATAACCAAATAAAGCTGCTTATCATGAAAAATTCAAAATATGCAAAAGCATTTGAATCTGATGTAAATAGATGGGAAAAAATTTTATCTGTGATTTTAGAAACTGTTGAAATGCTTTTACTGATACAGAAACTTTGGCTGTATTTAGAGGTTTCTCTTTCTTATATAAATATACTGTTAAGTTTAAGCAAAATCAAATCTTAGAGAAACTGGTGATAATATGCCTGAGTATGCAATGCTGTGTTGATAACACTACTTATAAAAATTGTCGTTATTACATACAAATGAAAAGTAACGCCACCACCATCATCGCTACTTACATGAAAGAGTAGTGCCAAAATCGTTGCCGCTTTTTTGAACAACGAAAGTAAACGTATTGTAAAATTTCTTCTAGCAAATTTTTCTTTTTTTTCACTGAAATTTCTACTTTAATTCATTAACCCTCAATGGATCCTTGTTAAAAAGTGAGTTCATTAGCCTTGGAGTCTAAATTTTTTATAACTAAATAACAAGTATTAGGCAATTTTTATGCAATAAAACAATGCGGTACGTAGAGACACTCACAGACTTGATATAAGTGTCATTTTAATTCTAATTTCAATCAAATAGAATGTCAAATCAAATGGCATACAAATTTTGTTCAATGTTTTTTCGAATGATGTATTTAAATAGAACAAACAGTGTTTACAAAGTATTTTTGAGTTATTCATAAAATATGCAGAAAAAGCGGCTTAGAGCACATATCACAGGAGTTGCATATTATCCTGTCACATTCGCGCTGCATCATGACAAAGTTTTTTCGTCCTCTTTATTCTCGCATTTTCATTTTCCAATATCCATTCTAAAAATTGGACTGTATCCAAAGATGGGCAAATTACACACTATATTGTAATTTCGATACAAATTACATAATACTCTAAATATTGTAATTTTTATACCAATTACAAATTACATTTAATAAAAGAGCCAAATAACTAATTTCAAATTACATGAAATTAAATTACATCAAACCAGTTTTGATTAAATGAAGAAAAATTTTTTTTCAAGTTATTTAAACATTGATTTTTCTTTGCGCTGATATTCTTTGATGTCATTTTATATTCATGTATTAAGTTACTTTCTTTCTATCAACAATCTGTTCAATCATTTAACGAATGACTGAAGAAAGAAAGACACTATTCACCACTACTTTTGATTTTGCATATTCTTTGATGTCATTTTCATATTCTTTTATTAATTTACTTTCTTTCGATCAACAATTTGTTCAATCGTTTAATGAACGACTGAAGAAAGAAGGAAAGAAAAAAAGAAGGAAAGAAAAAAGGAAAGAAAGAATGAAAAAGGAAGCGTCAAACATCAAAGAAGTTTACTTGATGTAGTACTTGATGATTACTTCTTTGATGTAGCAATATGAACATAAAACTTCAAAGTAGCAAATGAAATTTTTAATCAAATAAATTTTTAGAATTTAAAAATTTTTTTACAATTTCAAGAAAAAAAAATTTCAATATAATAATAATTTGTGTAAGTATATCTGTTCACTCTCATATAAACTATATTTTTTAACCAAAATGTAATTTGAAATTAATGGTTTACCAATAATATATAATATATATATATATAATATATATATATATATATATATATATATAATATATATATATATATAATATATATATATATATATATTTAGGAACGAAGTTTTTCATTTATACAAATTTTGTTGAATATGTTTGCCCATTTTGCATTTATTAATTTCTTTGAAATTGAATCAACACGATGTAATTGTTGCAATAAACATAAATTTATCTTTCATTATTTTACTGAAAAGTTTTACAATTCACTAATTTTAGGCTCTGATGATGGCTACCTAGCCGAAACAACGTTGTTAGCCACGATATGACACAAGTTTTTAATAAATATGAATTGCAACAATTACATCGTGTTGATTCAATTTCAAAGAATACAAAATAAATGCAAAATAAATGCAAAATGGGAAAATGGGCATATATATATATATATATATATATATATATATATATATATATATATATATATGTTGGTAATAGACCATAATTTTTACAATATTCTATAAATTCTATTCTAATTTTGGCGTTAATATGTTTGTAGTTCGTTTTTTCGATTTTTCTCACCAAAGTTTTTTGGTGAACGTTTAGTTTATTAAAATTCAAAATAAACTTATTCTCTGAATTCATGCTGCAAATAAGGCCATATTTCGATTCCGAATGAATCATCATCAGTGCGGTTGATGTTTATATAGAGAAATATTGACTTTGTCAAAATGAACTTAGATGGAAATTAGGTGTCAGGTTTCTTTATTGGCTGGTCATCTAATTTGGTCTCCCTTTCTTCATCGATAGCATCATATTCTTCTTTGTCACTTTTTACAATGCTAGTTTTTATTACTTCTTTGTTTTCATTGTTGGTTAAGCGCCGGGTTGGGAGTGAGGTTGTCATTTTTTGTTGTATATTTATTTTTGGTTTATTGATGTCAATTAGAACTGCTTCTGCAATTTTAAGATGCGTGTAGTTGCTGTTCTGGTATATTACTTTGGTGTTGCTGTCGAGGATTTCACGGCTAATAGTGATTGAGTGTGTTGAGTCCAAATGAGTGTGCTATCAAATCTTACTGGTGAACCCATTCAATCCACAGCTACTGGACGATGGCCCTGTTCAGTTTGTAAGCTGGTGTAAGTAACAATTCAATCAAGTGTCAGCATTGTAGCCAGTGTGTCACCAACCTTTTTTCAAAATTTTTTGTTATTTTTTTTAAGTTGTCAAATTTTTTTTGTCCTGTTTAATTCAATCCCCACCACCAATTTGAAATAGCAATGTTTTTTGAGGCCATTAAGTAGAGAAAGTCACCATTGTTTCAATATCTAGGGGTTGTTCTGATTTTACTGGAACGGCCTAAAGCGGCGTTTGAGCACGGATACGTGCAGCCTGGGATAAATGGCCAACTCTTTGTACCATATTGATGCCGCCTGACATCCCAATACCACTACGATCAAGACCTTATTAATCTGTTGATACGTCCAGTGTTGTTATATGGTGCAGTAACATGGCCAATTACAACCAAACTGGAACAACAACTTCACCGAACCGATATGAAAATGCTCCGATGGATGCAACGAATTAGTCTGAAGGACCACATCAAATCTACCAAAATCCTTCGTCGTGCTGGTTTAGATGATATAAAGGACGAATGCCGGCAACACCGTCTGCGGTGGTTTGGTCATGTCAAACGAAGTGGAAACTTCTCTTGCAGATGTTGAAGTACCTGGCACACGTCCCAAAGGCCGTCCAAAGAAGTCCTGGTCCCAAACAATCGAGCAAAACATGAAAGCTCTAAATTTAAATGAAATGGATACAACTGATCGTCTAATTTGGCGCAAAATGTTGATGGCAAAGAAAACAACGTCCTACCTCGGGTAACCGGGTCTCTGGACGCAAAACGAAGATTGATTGAATGATTAACTACAAGACCTAGCGTTGTTTTGTGGATGATTTTTTCTTAAAAAAGCATACCAAAAGCACTACAGAATCAATTTGTAAAACGTAAGCAAAATCAGATAACTAACTAATCAGCAATAATTTAAATTTTTTAAAGTTTAAAACTAGTGTGAACAGTGGCGGATCTAGACAACTTTGACGGGGCCATGGCCTCTCGCCTCCCCCTCTAGATACCCCACCCCACCTGAGTGTGAATTCGATGTACAATTTCAATGAAAAATAATTTTTCTGTCATCAATTTCAAGTGATTTTTTTTAAATATAATTTTTCATATATTTGCTAATAAGTTAGACAAGTTAGAATATTAAGTTATTTATTACTTCTGTTAAAAAGTTTGAAAAAAATTAACTTGTACGATGGAGAAGTCAAAACGTCTTCGCAAAAGAAATCAGAAATGGAAACATTAATTAATCTTCGATCCCAATCGTCTGTCACATGACCTCCATAATTAATAGATGAAACCAAAAATTTTAGTGCTTCCCAAGGAGTTTCTTCATATTCATCCAAATATAAATTAAGCAAACCTTCAGAAACCTTTAAATTTATCATGACATACTCATCAAAATTTAAAGTTCAGAGCACAAATTTATAAACTGAACAAAAAATGTCGTTACGGCAGAATTTATATTCTCTCTACCGCTTCCACTACTGCCGTCGTCACCTTCGTCGCTGCGACGTGGCCATCGCGGTAGGATCGGTGGTCACGTCAGCGCCGTGGCGATCGTACACCCCACCGGCCGCTTGACAAAGCAAACTTACTTTCTGCAGGCGGTTGCTCCTCTTAACACCGAAACACGAGTCGGAATTCATGGGCCGGCGTAAAAAATGTTTTGCTGAACGTACAGACCGAAATTTCCATAGGCTTGCAAATCTTTTTTCAGACTTAGACTATTAGTTTTAATATTTTACTTATCTGTTATAGTTATAAATATGAATAATGTACCAGTGCTTCTTGGTCCAAACTAGTTTAAAATATATAACCAGATATTGGCTGCAGCCATTGACGCCAAAATTATTGGCAATAAATTGCATATCAATCCATTAATTTGTTGATGAAACGATAATTTTACGCTGTTTCGATTAGTTCCTGATCTACCATAAATTTTTCGATGCAACAACAACTTCCGTTATACCGATATTTTGATATTGCATGTAATGGTATTTCTGGTGTTATAGATAGTCAGTTTTTTCTCACCCCCTTTTTTTTACACGTAAACTGTATCAAAAGCTGAGGAAAAGTCAAGAGCAAGAAGAAGAGTAAGATTACTATTGTCACTAGAGAGAAGGATATCATTGTGTATTTTAAGTAAAGATGTTTCAGTACTGTGAGCAGGTCTGAAACCAGAATGAAATACAGGTAGCAAGGAGTTAAAGTCTAAATAGGATGACAGGTGGA